ATATTAGATTAGGGATTTTCGATGAAAATTTCCAGAGCTAGGGCTTTTTGCGACTGCAAAATTGCAATTCTACAGAGGACTTTTGCGAATTTTCCTAAACTAGGCTCCACAGGTCTAATCACGGTTTTCGTCCCCCTTTTGCTGGGTACTGGCAAAGGGGTCAGAAATTACAGTATTTGTATGGAAATTAATTGGATGGGAACTTTACCATACTGGGTAGCAGATTGTATTCACCAAATTTGAAGGACGTAGCCGGGCTAGAAGACGCTCACTACAGTTGATTTTTAATTTTTCTATAATTTTTTCACGCGAACCGCGTCTACCCAGCCAAATATACAGACAAATGTACCGAAAATTAGAGAAATAGCTGAGCGTCTTCCCGCCAAGCTACATCCTCGAACTTGGTGAATACAATCTTCTACCTGGTATTTTAACGTTGCGATCCACAAATTTTGTAAAATTCAGTTTTTGAAAAAGGTTATTTGTCATCGGGTTCCCATACAAATACTGTAATTTCTGACAACTTTGCCTACCCGTCAAGATGGAGTCGAAAACCGTGACAACACAAAGTCTGATGACGACTGCAAAGTGGTGTGGTGAGGAGCGCTGCGTGACGCTCTTAGGCCATCCGTAGAAGAAACCACATTTTACGCTGTATGAGTTCAGAGAACACCCAGGCCTAAACCGTCAGCTTTCTCAACTCATCCAAAACAATGTTCTATCATGCAGATTTTAATGACTTCTACTTAAAAAACACAACTTTTAGATTATACTCATATAAACCAGACCGTGTAATAATTCACTCACTTGAACATAACTAACCTCCAGAATCATCAATAACCTATTTTGTTATATAGCTGGCGTTTTTCCCGCTACAGTGAAGTTTTATGGAGGAAAAAAAACAAAACTTCAAATTCCACACACTGAGTGGGAAAAAGTAAAAGGTGTTACATTTGTATTATAACAATATAGTATAAATCATGACAAGCACCTTGGTTGCGAGTCCCCAGATGGCTGGTCTGCCAATGAAAACAGCTCGTGCCCCTAAAGCCAGAGCCTTCAGTACATCTGTACCTAGTCTTATTCCACCATCAATGTAGACTTCACCCCTTCCTTTAACTGCCTCCACAATCTCTGGCAGAACGTCAATCTACCAAAAGAAAATATTACGGTGTTTAATGAATTTAAGTCTGTGTATTACTATACGTTTATTAAAGGGGAGAGTTTCTGTTCAATGATTATCACCTCCAAACACGATAGCTTCAGATATTTGGAGGGCTACTTCTTTTAGTACGGGAAATTATCACTGACAATTCTCAAGACAAGAACGTAAATTATTCTTTGTTGTTCATTTAGAGGTAGTGAAATTAAGGCTTCACTAAAGACGTGCTGGCAGATATACTTTATACGAAATATAGCCCATCTTTACCCGTTTAATTTTATCTGAAACTGAAAGCCAAACAGGAAAAATATAAGAAAGCGTTTTCTTGAGTGAATTAAAAATGAAAACAGGCAAAACTGGGTAATTGATAAAAGAGAGACTTGATGTCAGGGAGAACATAATCCTAGCCTTTCTTAAACTCAGTAATAATTCATCAAGTTTAAACAAAGGAAATCATGAATGTGATGGTGTTTGTTTGGATATATGATTACGATTATAATTCTCCATTTTCTCCTTGGTTTAGTTTCGATTGACAAGATACATCAAACACTCAAGACAATGTTTGACCACATTTCGAAACACCTCGAAGTTCGTCAAAAACACTCCGCTGCGCGTTGTGTTTTTAACTCCGTTCTCGGTGTTTGGAAATGTGGTCAAACACGGTCTTTCGTGTTTGATATATTACTTGAAAGCACACCTACACCTTTATAAGCACTTACAGTGGCAGGGACATAATCTAACTGTCTTCCACCGGTGTAGGAAACAATGACTCCATCAACTCCATATGCAACAGCCTCCCTTGCATCATCTGTTGTCAGAATTCCCTTTAGTATAATTGGTAGTTTGGTGATGCTTTTTAGCCAGTCCACAATTTCAAAAGAAATTGATGGATCAACCAGTGAGTCAGCAAAACTGTTGAAAGCCAAGCTACTAATGTGCTTACTTTGCTCAAAATTGGATGATTTCTTTGCTTCTGATAACTGGGATGCTTCAATGTTTGGAAGGTGTATTAAGTATGGCTGTAGAAGTGAGTGATTTTGGAAATCTGTCAGCCGTTTTCCAATCACACCTCCATCTACAGTGACAACAATTGCTTTGTATCCGGCTTTCTCTGCACGTTCCACAATGTTTCGCGTCACTTCACGCGATCTTGAAATGTATAGCTGCATCCATTCGAGTGAATCAGGAGCAGCAAGTGCAACATCCTCTAGAGCTGTTGATCCCACACTGCTTAGTATCATGCATGTCCGTGCCTTTGCAGCAGCTGCAGTTAAAACAATTCAATAGTAATATGACTAATGGCTTGTTTTGACCTCTGGGAAGTAGCCTTAGCTTATGAGAGGGAAGAAGAGGTCAGGATTTCCAGGTACTTGTATTCATCATCATGCTTTATCGACAGCGCGTTCTTTCCCAATTGCTGAGTTCAATTTCCGATAATTTTTTTTCACTTTATTCACATTGCATACATTACATTACATTTACAGTATATTACTTATCTACTTACATTACAGTGCTTGCTTCTAACAACACAGTACCTAAGTCTACTTATAAGTGAAGCCTGCCGGAGCTTATCCCGGTTTTTGTAGCATGAAGCGGCTAGTAGTATTTCTACTCCCCCTGGACGGGCTGCTATTCCATCGCAGGTCACTCCCCTGCAATTTGTTAGGTTTCCCCAACAATTCGTCGGTACCCATTTATAATCCTGGGTGGAGAGAGGCACTGTGAGAGTTAAGTGTCTTGCCCAAGAACACAACACAGTGCCCCCGGCCAGGGCTAGAACCCGGACCGCTCGATCCGGGGACGAGTGCACTAACCATGAGGCCACCGCGCCTCCACAAAGTCTACTTATATTACGCTACATTTCTTGTTATACTTAAACACTGCATATAACAACAATTGGATTAAGAACATCGGGCTGAAAGTTGGCCAATAAAGCACCATAGATATAAGAACCAATTCAGCTCAACTTACTTACAGACATCACTTACTTTATAAAACATTACTTGCTTACAATACGTTATATAACATTAATCACTTACAATATAATGTACTATATACTTACATCACTTACAATTCATGACGTTACCTACTTACAATACGCTGTATTATTACTTACAAACATCTCTTATCATAGGTTGCATCACAACACGATGCACAAAATTGGGAGAAACTATGATAAAATTGTTTAATTAATTATTTATCATTGATTATTAGTATTATTATTATCGACCATTTGCCTCAAGTTTCTATGCTACTCGTCAGTTGCTTAGAAATCCTGATTCCTGCCCTTGCCTTTCTTGCCTTCTGTAGACTTCCTCCCAGATTTATGCCCCCATGTTCACCATACCACTTACCTCAAAATTATATTCATCGACAAGAATAAATTAAATGAGTTTGATTGAACATCGCGGTAAACAGTATTGCACAATGAGTTGCAATGACTTCCAATTCCTACAAACAATGTGAATACCAGCCTCCCGAGTTCTCAAATATAATCGCAGCTCAATGGCAGTCTAACTTTGGGACAAAGAGAAGCAAAATCTCTAATGATGTTTAAAATTTTTGTCGTTTTTAAAATATTCTTCATTCAAATTCTCGAATCTGATTGGCTGTCAGCTGGCCTAATTTGATCAGGGCGGTGAATGTGCTATGTGTTTGTAACTGAACTGTTTATGGTCATGCCTGTGTAACTGTACAGTATACGTAATTTGCGCGCTGATTTTGGATGATTGCACTTGAATTCTCTCATTTTCTAATGCATCTCATAAACAGATTGTTGACTTAACTGATGTCTTCCTGTCTTCCTTTCATTCACCAAGAAGTTTTTTCTCAAATGTTTGTGTCATTCAGCTGTGATTAAGGTGGCTTACTAGAGTTTTAATGGATGATAACAGTGACATCACATTGAGGCAGCGTCCACGCTACGCCGGAGGAATTTGAAAACGAAGCTTTATTTCTACGGTTAGGCCTAACGCCCATACTAATCCGTCACGAAAACGGAGCTTTATCGAAAACGCCTTTCAAACCAGCTGAATTTGAAAACGCCGGCTTTTTTTTTCGTGTGGACGGAAAACATTTTGAAAATGGAGCCTTTTGAAAACGATGGCGTCAATTTCCCTGCCCGAGTTTTCTGCAAACACAAATCCAAAATGACCTGTGATGGTTGCGTTTTCAAATTTCTCCGCCGTCGTGTGGACGGAAAACATTTGATGCATCTCAGAGTGAAAACTCCGGTTTCAAATTCCTCCAGCGTCAGTGTGGAGCCGTGCACGGCGTACAATTCATGTTCGGCCACCCATATAGTCTCGCTGCAGTTTGATTTTATTTACTGATGCACGTAACAATGAAAGCGGGTCTAAGGGCTGAAGGGGAAGGGCACTATATATGTCCTACTGTGAAGTTCTTGCCCGGCCTGAGTTCAAATTCTGTTGGCAATCATAACCAGTTTCGCAAATCGCATGTACAAATACAGACCAAATTAACTTGGCACACTGATTTCTCACATATTGCAGTTGCCAGTTCACCATCAGGGTGAGCAAGCTTATGCTTTCCGGAGGGTGCAATTCCAACCGGCATAGTGAATTTTTGTCCGAGAACTGTTGTGGTAAGGTCCACTTGAGATATCCCACGGAGAATGCGTGGTCTAATTCGCAACCTGAAAACAATTCAGTTATAATGGGTCATGGTTAATACCATTTTTTACAACAGCTGCAGAAATTCTCGCGCGCTCATTGGCTACCGTAAACTTCCGAAAGTAACGACCCGTGCACACCCATTGTTCTGCTTATTAAACCTTTTGTTCAGAGACGTTGCCGTTGCCTTCCTGGTTTTCTTCAGCTTAAACTCCCTATGAACAATCACTGCACACAACGGTTACCGTCTCGCGCGTCACTACACATCTGTGACCATCAATACACATCAATTATCGTGACTAAACACAATTTACTTTTACTAGATGATTATTTCTAGTGCTGGTGAATGATGTTTAGTGACGGTGAATGATATCTAGTGATAGTATTAAACGTTGAATGACGTCTAGTGATGGTGGAATATATAGATTTAGCCAAGCCTAACAACGGAGCTCCTGATTAAAGTCAACCTGGCTTGAGCTTGCGATCCAATCGAAAACCAGTGCCCGGGCAACGGTCAACTTCAAATAAACAAGTGACCTCGATGAGCGCTAAACTTGAGCTCACGTGATACTGGTCAGTGGACACCTTGATTTGACAGGTGTCAATTGACGATAACATGGATGTCCAATATCAAATATGTACCCTGTGAACCACCAGGAGCGCATCACTAGGAGCGTGTAACTCCCATACAAAGCCTATGTCACGGCATGTTTACAGACCGGTCTATTTTTAGGCTTCTTTTCCCGAAA